TATATATTTCACCTACTTATGTAGAATAATATTTTGTGGAGTTAGGGATATTAATATTAGTTTACTTTTATTTGAATAGTATCCTGGGATTAGGTTTGGGAAGTCCGGGGGGTGGGGGGTGGGGGGTGGGGTTTTTATTATAGCATTGTGATGTACTTGTGATGTGTTTCTTTTTTATGATGAAAATAATAAAAATTTACTTGGAAAAAAAAAAGGGACAAAACGTTCTGGAGGGTTGGACACGAACTCCAGGAACAAACCCAGGTGTATGGTTTGCCGGACCCAGGCGTCCGTAGTGGTGGCTTCCCACTGGTGAGTGAAATTTGCCAGTCTGCCACCTATGGGGAGGGTTGATAGGGAGTCATTTCAACCTTATGAAGGGGCGGCCTCCTCCCCGAAAGGGCCATTTTCTCTGGGTCTGGTGTATGGGTCTGGATCCGGACCTGTCCGGTTGGCGGTCCTGTCTGGGGATAAAGGGGGTGTAAGGCCAGGATTGCTGAGAGGGCTGAGAAAAGCTCGAACTCGTCCCCGACTGAAAGGACTGCCTTCGGGTGTATGGGGTTGAACGTCTGTCGGCCCGCCTGCTAGAGTGGGCCAGTACCTTCCGCTTATCCTTGTTTTCGGTTAGGTATGGGTTCAGCGCCTCTCCGAATAGTTGTCCACCCTGGTAAAGGGCCGTGGCTAGGCGCCACTTGGCCTTTGGGTCAGTTTGCCAGTGTCTGAGCCATAGCATCCTGCGTCCTGAGACGTTGAATGCTATCGCTCTGGAGGAGAACCTGGTTGCATGCAGTGTGGCATCAGATACGTACTCTGTTGCTGCAGCAAGCTTGCTCAGGTCCAGTTGTGTTTGTACCTCTTCCTGGGGAAGTCTGGCCTGAAGTTGATGGATCCAAAGTAGGGAGGGTCTTGCAAAGAATGATGCGCAGGTCTTGCAAAGAATGATGCGCAGGCCTGGTGGGTCCTGCAGAATGTAAGCTCCCATCTCTTGTCATCAGACTTCAATGCCTCTGCCATGTCTCCCGACACTGCGGTCGGGGAGAAAAGGAATCCAAAGGGTTCGTCTACCTTTGATACCTCAAGGTCCTCTGACTGCTCTATTGTTGTGCTGAACAACTTCTTGTCTGTTCCCCTGGGTGCGGGGAACGTGCCCGGAGATGCCCATTGTTTCTTAATGGTACTCCGGAAGAGTGTCGGATAGGGAACATGGTGTTGGGCTACAACGAGTTCTAATTTGGATTTGAACCGGGCAGTGGTCCTGGTTGAGGGGTATGATGCGGGCCAATGTTTGCCATTGAACTGGCTCTGCATAGCAGAGGTAGGAAAAAATTGGGGTTGAATACCCTACCGAATGGAGGAGGGTCTGGGGGAGAGTCCTCCTCCCACCATGACATGTCATGCAGATCGTCCTCCGTAGGAGAGGACTCCCTGGTGTGGAAGGACCGTGACAGGGAGAAGGAGCCCTGGAACGCGGCCTCCCCTGATTGGGACCTGGGTGGGGCCCTGTCCATCACGGACTCGGTTTTCGGTCTGTGGTTAGATCTAGACGCCATCATCTTGTGGAGCGTCTGCTCAATTAGAGCTTGTATACGGTCCTCGCAGAGATTGGTCTCGGGTTCCACCCCCCGAGTCCTACCACTGTGGGTGTGAACATGGCTTCAGGTGCGGGTTCTGTGGCCCCTAGTGTAGGAGGGCCCTTCTCAGGTGCCTGGGGGGACCCCTCTGGGAACCAAACTCCGTGGGTGGAAGGTCCTAAGGGAAGATTGAAGGATGTTTCCTCTGTTTGTTCCACTTTGGCCTTGGCTTGCTTTTGTGCCTTGGAGAATTCCCTCTCCAGGGCCTGGTGTCTTCTGCTAGCCTGTTTCTCAGCCAACCTGGAAGGTTTTCTTCCAGAAATGAACTTAGACTTTGCTTTGATCCTGCCTGATGCCTCCTGTTTGGAGGATTTTTGTCTTTTGCAGCTGGTGGGAGGGGAGGCGATGCTCAAGGGTTGAGACACCGTGGGCTCCTCCATCCTGGTTGAGCTATCTCAGTTACCCGACAGGGAACTCTGGCAGGGGATCAGTTGGCGAGGTGGCAAGCAGGGGTAGCAGGGAGTGATCATCCCGCTCTCCTGACCGTCTGACCGACAAAGGGACCGCTGTTTTCCCACCCCTTTGCGGTCCGGTCCTTCTTGTGTCCAACCAGTTGCAGCGGGTGGTTCTAGATATTAGGGGGGGTATGGTCAGGGTAACAGTACACCAGGGTTGGGCCTCAAGCCTTTATTATTTTTAATTAATTAATTACTTAATTACCTAATTACTTAATTACTTAATTAATTAATTAATTTTATTTAATTTGTTTCTGTTGGGGCCCCAGCTGATTCCATGTAAAAAACGAATGCCGTTGTGGAATCAAGAGTGTTAATGGAAGGGTGGGGGGGAGGTCACTGTCTGAGTGTGTCCGCTATTGAGTTACTCTCCTTCCCTTATCCGGTGAGGAGAGAGAAACCAAAGAAACCAGGCAAGGCAAGAGAAGAAAGGAACAGAATTAGACTGTTCCCTCTGTGCCGCGGAGCCTTAGGTCTCCACATGTCCGTAACCTGTAAACCTCTCTCTCTCGGTAAGACGGAACAAAAATGGCGGCCGGGATGCTGCCGGCCGCCTGGGGATGAGACGGAAGCGCGTCTACGATCTGCGCTTCCTGTCTCTTGGCGGGAAATTCGATGGAGAGATGGAGAAGACGGAAGTCCCCTCTGGAACCTCCATGCATCCCGGCATCCCAAAATGGCGACCTGCGCAGGAGAACTAGCGCGGTCCCCCAGCGCCTGTGAGATCCGAGCTGCCTTGGCGTCTATTGCCCTGATGCCTCGGCCAGTGGTTTCGCCACGGTCGCAGCCGGCGCTCCGTCGATTCTCTTGCTTAAGGCTGAAGAGAGAACCAATGGGAAGATCCCCCCCTCCGGAGGCACAGGGAGTTTCGGCTGCAGCGTAGAGCCGCAACCGGTGCTCAGCTGATTCTCCTGCTTGCGAGCGTAAGAGGAACAGCTGGGAAAAACCCTGCTCCCCTCCGGAGGTGAGGAGAGACTCAGCTGCAGCGCTGATCTAACGTTATGCTGGGGATTCCCCTTTGAAAACCGATCATACGAGGGGCTCTTTAAGCAATGATGAGCCTGAGAGCATCCATAGGACTCCGGCTGCAGTTATCTCTGCTCAGCTGGACCCCAGGTCTGGGGAGGGAAGTCACCCCCTACCCCAGGCCTTCCACAAGCTGATCCTCCCAGCACTGGATCCAGCGCTGTTAGGGTAGTTGTGATGGGAATGATAGAATCCACCAATATTTTATCTCTATTACCTGCCTTAGACCGGGAGCCAATCTATCACATCCATCTGGGCTGAAGACCGAGTCAAGAATGGGGGAGTGGCTACCCCAGGATGGGCGTGACAAATTAGTTGACCCGGTCTATTGGGCAGGAAGGCAGAGTTAACCCATTGGTGGATTCTACGTCTCCAGTGCTGGAGAATTAAGCATTCATGGCTAAAATCCAACAGGAGCCTGGGGGGGGCGTTCTAGGTATTGCACCAATGGCTTTGGGAGACATTTGCAGAGTTAGGTTTTTTTTAGTGTATTTAAGCATAGTCTATAGTGATCTATAGCTTCCCTTTAGGTGTTGTCAAATAATTATCCAAGACTTAAACATTATTCCCACTTGGCATACATTTTGTATGACTGCTCAATAAACTATGTACTTTTACTTTTATATGAATACCTCAACAAGTTTTCATACACATTTTAATTTAAAACAAAAATTAATTTACCTTGAGATTTGGGTTTTTTAAGGCAAATCCTCTGTACCAGCCTGAAAAGAAATATTTTATATTTCATTTTACTTTATTTATAGGGTGCCTGACTTCCAAATGTCTCTGGGCAGTTTCCAACTAAAAACCAATGTATTAAAAGAAAAGTACAACAGAAATACAACTGTAAGATTCTATACTTCAACTTCCACATATATTTAATATGGAAATTTTACCTCTATGTATCTTCCCCAAATAACAAAAATAGGCAGGGGTATTCATAGGACACTACTATTGTATCATCAGTTACAAGCAGGTAAGATTCATGCAATTCAATAGCATTTCTATGTAAAAGAACCATGCAGGTTTAAGAAGTGACACAGTTGCTTTAATAGTTTGAAAACTCTTTTAAGCCCTACAATTTGATCTTTTTATTTCCATGTTTTACAGTTATAGAAAGAAAATATACTCAAATTTAGTGGCTAGGACTAAGGAAATCCAGATTTAAAAACTGTCCTAATTAATCTTGGGGTAATCATTTACACATGATTACACACTTGCATCTCTGCTTCAGAAGCTGCTCCTAGCTCTCTTTGCATGCATGTGACAAAGACTTAGCAAAATCCTATAAAAGAACTCTAGAGTATTGTGGTATTTCTATAGCCCTCTATTTTCTATTCCTTATCTCATTACATCATATAAATATATGTACCTTCATACAGTAACACTCAATGTAACACAATCTTACAAACTTAATTCAAAATACATAAACTAATCTTTTGGAGGAAAAAACAGTTCATTATAAAGAAGTAATGTATACTCCAATCAGATCTTAATCTATAGTTATTGCTAGAATAAAAATATGTTACCATATACAGAATAATTATTTCCCTGCAATTAGAGCTATCTTTTTATAGCAACAAACTGGATAGATTATTTTGAGACATTTCAGACTGGATAAATTTTACTCTTATTCAAGCATCTATGATTTCAATAACCTTTTGTTCACAGAAAATTAAATATGGCTATTATTAAACAGGCTTTCAACTTTAGCAAACATTTGTATTTGCTTTAGCATAATTAGGTGAGTTGATTTTGAAGTCTCTTGTCAAGTGACGGTTGCTTGCTTTTTCAACACTTACCATCACATTTTTCTAGTATTTGAACAGTGTCTCCAATCTCCAGTGATAAGCCATGAGGGATTGTTCCTCGAAAACTTGCAATTACTGGAAAAGATATTAAATTCTATTGAACCATATTTTTAAGAAAAGAAAAACCACATTTAATATTTAACAGTGTGCTATTGTAAGCAAAAGCAATCAGTTAATAAAATCTTCCCACCTCAATTTGCAATGCTTTAAATCCCTGGATTTATAGATACAGTAACAGCCTCCTTTTAAAATCCTTTTTTATATTAAAAAAGGATAATTTGTTTAATATGATTCCAAGAAAAATCATATCAGACCGAGGGGTCCAGTTCACAACAAAATTCTGGAGGGAGTTCCTGAAGCTGATCGGATTCAGCCAGGAGCTCAACTCGGCTTTTCATCCAAATATGAATGGAGCTGCTAAACAAGCGAACACAATGTTTGAACAACAATTTACTGAGATGGATGAATTAAACTTACATCAGGACTACCAACCTACACCAGAAAAAAAATCTGATGCTAATGAACAAATGACTTTTAGCACGGAAACTAAGGATGTTACCCCAGAAGGGCAGGCTGACCTCCAGACTCCAACTGATTACCTAACAGATAAAAAACCAATAGGAGGAAAGCAAAATAATATTAAAGAAGACTCTACATTATTTTATAGACAATCTATTGAGACTCTGGATGATTCAAAAATGACTGTAATTAAACTAGATGCAACTTCAAAAAAGATGAAGATGGATCTTCAACCACGAGCTATTGAGAATCGCTACAACTTTTTCACTAGCCTATTAAAATTGACAATGGGAGATTCTCCCCTGATTTATGCATTACGGCAAGAAATGGAGGGAGTTTTATTTGTGGACTTAGAGGCCTTACTATGGAAACCTGTTTGGAACAGAAAGAAAGCTAAAATAAGATATAAATATGGAATTTAAGATTACATTTATGGGTTGCAATGGCTTTATAGAGATGTGGATTGATTTGGATTTGGATTTTTAAAAGGCGTTTTTAGGATAAGATTTAGAATTTAACATTGAAATATAGTAAGAATATATATTTTTGGAATAATAGATCTTCCCTTTTTTCTCTTCCTTTTTCTTGGTTTCTTTTTGTTTCTTTCTATTATTTTTTTTCTATTTTTCCTATGCTTTTTATTATTAGATATGATAGTTAATTTGTGGAGCTATAATGATAAAAAGATTGTAATGATGGAAGAGATCGAATTAATAAATGAAGAATTACTGAATAAGAAATAGAATATAGTTGAGAAATATAAGAATGTAATTATGGAAATAATATGCTTAAATAAGAGAAATTATGGACACCCAAATTGTAAAGAATATTTTTGTTTAAGGCTAAGTTAGATATGGTATTTGGAAATTAATAAACCTAAAAACAGGGTTTGATTTACATCGATGAAAGGTTGCTGATAATTTCTATTGATTAATTGAATTCTTATTTAGGAATGTATTAATGAATTAATTTTACTTAGAAATGTATTAGTTTGACTATATTATTCTAATTGTTAGAGAGGGAAATTTTAAGGAGCATTATTTGAGCTATATATGTATGATGTTATTATACCTAACTGATTACCCTATCTCCATGTTGTTTCTTAAGTGTTCTGGTGTAAAAATGGAAAAATCAATAAAATTGTTTGGAAAAAAAGAAGAAGAAGCAATCCCCCCAGAAACAGTTTCACATAGGAGAGAAAGTTTATCTCTCAATCAAATACCTTAAAATAAAACTACCATGTAAAAAGCTAGGACCTAAATTTATCGGTCCTTTCCCTATCGTAAAAATCACAAAGCCTGTCACAGTGGAGTTAAAGCTCCCACGATTCTTAGGGAAAATACATTCAGTTTTTCATTGCAGTTTGCTGAAACCAGTTATAGAATCAACATTGAGACCAGTACCTCAAACCGCCCCAGGTCCCATTGTGTATCTATGCTTGTTATTTTTCAGGAACTGCTTTCTCTTTAGGAGAGTCCGATTGGCAACTTCTGAAATAAACCTGGCTGCAGCTTTCTTTTTCATTCTAAGTTGCCACAGGTTGAGGGGAAGGGGGGATGGAAAAATGACAGCATTGCTAGACTAAACATAGAGCGGTCCTGTGGGAACCAAGGTCATTCCCACAGGAGCTGGAAAGTGGAGAGAAGTTTCACAGAGCCCGCCAATTGCTTTTATTGGGTAGCATGATCAACAGCATAGCAGAGGAGAGGGAATTGTTACATTTAGTTACATTGAATCTCTAAGGGGAATTTTAGAGTGGGTTTCATTTTTGACCATGCCGATATTATGTATCCAATAAACATGTTCTTTGAGGAAACTTCAAGTCTCAGTGTTCGGATTTGTTTGGGTTCATTAGTTGGAATCTTGACAGTTTTCAGAAAATTCAGCAAGAAAACAATTTATGGTTCACAAAGTAGATTTTGTAATTATATTGCATAAGTTTAAAGAATACAAAGGAATAAAAAATAAAGATACAAATGACAAAATGAAAAATATAACATACATAAACACATTTTCTCCCCTTCTCTTCCGTTCTTTTTCCCCAACCACTAACCACTAATATTTATGGTGTAGCTTTAATACTTAATATTAAATATTGGAAATTTTTGTTATTTCCAGAACTATTCAAAGTGCTAAAGGCCTACATAATTTTTTTGTAATATATTTTATTATTTTTTTAAAACATAAATCACTTAATAATTGGCTAACAGTGTGTTGTCTGGGTTTACATAAAACAATCACTAACAATTGATTTCTATAATCCATAATCCACATAATGGTTTTAGTTGATTTCCTCTTTTCCCCAAAATGTCCTCTTTTGCAAATACTGAGTTAATACAATTCTTATTGTTTTGACAGATAACAATTAAATATATAATTTTCCCAATATTCCTAAAAATAATAATCACACCAGTACAACATTTCTTTTTTATCCAATCATTCTGGATGCCTTATCATAGATCCTGTTACAGTCCTTATTTAAATTTGTTTCTCCCATAAAATTCAAAGTATTCTTGCTGGTTAAGATTTTCTCAAAAATCTTAACCAGCAAGAATCTTTAATTACATTTAAAATCTTTAATTACATTTAAAAATGTAAGTCTATTTTTTCCATATGAACCATCTCAACACTTTTACATTTCTGAAGGAATAGATAAAACAGTAAAAAAAGAAAGGAGAGCAAGAGTAAAGAAACAAAAAATAGCATACTACTTAGAATATATATCCCTCCTAAGCTAATATATATTTGTTTCCAAGATTTCTTATTCTTTTTAACCATAATTAAAAATATGTTTACTCTTTAAATATTCCATTTAATACATCTAGTCATCTAGTCCTTTAACTCTTATTCAAAACATTTTTATCCATTATAATTTTCTTAAATTCAATCATATTTAAATATCTAAAACATTTCCTTTATCTAAGCCATTTCAACTTTTTTATATTACTCATATCAAGAAATAGAATAAAAAAAGGGGGGGAAGCATACTATATTATTTAAGGGATTCATCCCTCTTAGAACAACATATATATTCCAAATCTATTTCTTTAACCATATTCAAACAAATGTTTCTTTTTTAAGTATTCTCTCTGGTAGGTCCCATCATCTATTTTCTTGATTTCCACTTTAGTCTTTTTCCTTTGCCCAGTATCTTTCTTGATCCATGTATTTTGCTGAGTTGAAAAGTCTTTCCATATGTTCACAAATGTTACTGTAGATATAAAAAGTAAATCAGATGAAGTGTCTTTGTACGGGGCTTCTGCCCTTCCATGTTTGTTGAAAATCTTTTTATTTTTCTTTCTCTCTGCTTCTCTTATCATTTCCTTTCTCTCCGATGTTCCTGACATCTCTACAGTCCATTTTATCCAATCTGTTTTCTTGTCTTCAGATTTATTTTAGTCTTAAGGGATAAGTTGTTTGTTGGAATATTCATGAGCAGGAAGAGTCATGTGATAACTCAGTCAGCCAATGTGAAGAAAGTGCTACTGAGTCTGTGCAAAAAAGGTATTGAGTTAGGAGCTGAATTTTTATCCAGTCTCGGGTTTGTCTCTGTATCTCTCTGTAAGAAGTCTTCATTGTGCTATGTTGCTGTAAAGAAGAATGTATGGTATTGTAAATATTTTGATATGAATATAAATAAGTTATTTGAATCAGCTAAATGTAGTCAACTGTGAGAGCTTCTGATTTATTTTTCACCAATAGAGAAATTAAAATTCTCTAACATTGTTTTTTCCAATTCTTGTGATTTTTTTCCCACTAGGATTAAATCATATTTCCTTGTTTTGTTAAGTTCCATCTTTAAGTCTCTATTCTCAATTTTGTATCCACTTATCTGTTTTATCTGCTCCTTCTCTGTTGTTGTTTTCTGGGAATTTTTTTGTTGTAAAGTTAACTTGGAAATAGATTGATTTAGATTTTCAAAGTTATTTTGGATTTCTTTGTAGTTTAAAATCATTGTTGTTTGAATTAGTTGCAGTATACTATATATCTCCTCCTGTGAAGTATTTATGTTTTCTTGATATGTTCTTTCTACATGTCTCTGATCCGTGATGACCAAGAATTTGAGTTTTTCTCTTCTTTTTTTTCTCTGCAAATAGCTTTAGAGTCCCGGTTAAATAGATATTTGTAATCCAAAGAGTTCAAAAAAGATTTTATTTCCCTGAAATTTATAATTCTCTCTTTGTCTACAGCCCAGATTATTGTCTTTTTTGTCACAGCTGTTCTTTGTTGTTAAAGCTTTGAAGGTCACAAACACAGATTAGCTTTTCCCAGGTTTTGCCAAGTCTTATATGAAAATCATAGCTGTCATAGTCTTCATCCACCACTAGGTGTCAGCATCTATTTGTTTTTCAATTTCCAAAATGAACAATTGTCTTTAGAATGAGAGTCTTAACCATTCAACAATTTTAGATTTATCCAGATTTAAGTTTTAAATTATATTTATTTCACTTCCATATATTTTGATCCTCCATAAAAAGATTAATTCTCTGCTTCCGTTAGTATAAGGGTGGAGTGGAAATCCCCCTCCTTCCCTTTTGGAGGTATT